GTCAATTAGATGTTAGGAGTGCATGAAAGCTCTTGTGTTCACTCTTGCAGCCAATAGCAGAACATTTGGTGATCTTTGTCGTGGCTGAGACATTTTAAAGTGAGCAGAAGCAGGTAAATACACCTGGTGAACTGTGAGGCAGCAGCTCATTCTGGAAGGCTAACTTGGAAGCAGGGAACAATAAGAGGGCAGCTTTACATGAAGTTTGAGCTAAATGACTATATGTTCCGTAGCTGGTACATAGCAGTTGAGTAACATTCTTACTGGCTTGTAAAAGGCTATCTAATAGTTGGGGGGCTTGAGGAGTGGCAGGAGTAAACGTCTTCAGATCTTAACAGGTTTTAGTTTCCACCTCCAACTTGACCCACACAACCTTTCCACCATATTGGACCTTTAAAGTTTGATTACCATCGTCATGATGTGACTAAAACAAACTATTTCATCAACAGAATTTTGGAGTGATGTGCCAATAATGAGTAGCAGCTTTCTTTGTGTATTATTTTTGTGCATAATCATTTTGCTTTTGATAAATACCCTAAACCCGCTGTCACAACTGGCACACTTTTAACCTGCTGTCATGAGCTAGTTCAGCAACACCTGGAGAACAGACTGTGGATGTTTTATAGCAGAGTGCAGGTCATTCTGAATGTGGGACACGAGGATGGAGTCACTTGGGTTTCTGTTCCAACTTTACATAAGAAACAATCTGAGATAGTGAGCTAAACATTTTCATTATGTGATCACTTAATAGCCTTTACACTGATCTGTTTGACTGAGCTCCTTCTTACATAATACAGACAAACCTACATAAAATCCTGAAACTATAAGCTTTGGTTTTGATATCACAGCTATTAAGGATTAACTGCATTACATTCAGGCTGATCTAAAGCTTCAGGCAGCACTCATGCGGAGAACGGCAATTTTACCCTTTTAGAATGAAATGCCTTCGACTTTTGCAGGAGTTTTTAAATTCATCTGAAGTGAGCTGCCGAGAGTCTAATGGCCTGGACGTGTGAGAAGAAATGATATCGTAAAAAATGTTTTGCAGCAGTTATAACATTACATATTTCTTTCTAAAAAAAAAACCATTAAATTACCATTAAAGCTTTAACAAATTAAGATTAAAAAACAGGCCAAAGCTGTAAACAACATCTGCATCAAAAATCTATATTTTATAACCTATTTTTCTGTCATGCTTTTACTTTTGTTTGTTTGTTTGTTTGTTTACAGTGGGTTGGGAAAGGTGGTTTAATGCACTCCTTGTAACAGTTAATTGTCATGTACTTTTAAATTTGAAAACAAAACCTGCCCAAACATCAACACAAATTGAGTACAAACAGTAAGAACAGGATTTTAATTTGTTTTAAAGGTCTACAAACTGTCTTCATATCAGCTGGTGGTAGCTTTTTTAAAAATTATTATTATCAATAATTGTGCCGGATTATGAGGAGGAAAACACAAATCCTGATAAACTGACTTCATCTCCTTTGCCAATGAGATGATGGCAGGGAGTGGCTGCGGCTCTGTCTCTCTCGTCACATGTTAACACTCTTTACGCGTATGTTACGCATCCGAGGCGCCAAACTGATCCATGTCGCGTCCCAGCAGCGGACTGAAGCAGATCCCACCGAGGACACTTGAGGAATGGCCTCTGGACGAGATGGATCCAACTCCACCACAAACCTGACCAACCAGTTCGTGCAGCCTGCGTGGCGCATCGCTCTGTGGTCGGTGGCTTACAGCACGGTGCTGGCGGTGGCAGTTTTTGGGAACTTGATCGTGATTTGGATTATTCTGGCGCACAAGCGGATGAGGACTGTCACCAACTATTTCCTGCTGAACTTGGCTTTCGCGGATGTGTCGATGGCCGCCTTCAACACGCTCATCAACTTCATCTACGCTGCTCATGGAGAGTGGTATTTTGGAGAGGTTTACTGCAGGTTCCACAACTTCTTCCCGGTCACCGCTGTGTTTGCCAGCATCTACTCCATGAGCGCCATAGCCATCGACAGGTATGACTGCACAGGAAAATAAAGATTTAGTGGGGAAGTTTTCATGATTGTGTTTGTATTTTCTGTTTTCTTTATCTAGAAAATAGTTTTTCTTTAAGAGAGACCTACATTAAATAGTTGATAATTTGTGCAGTGTGTAATTTAACATACTTGCAGTGGTCTGAATGAAAATCAAAGGATTTATTGCACATGAACAGCACATGCCATGACTTTAACCTCTTAAGATCTGGTGTCCACATGGGTGGACATCACATTTTGGGTAATATTACCACAGTAGTTAATTTTTTTTAAAAATTAGTTTTTATTTTATTATTATTATTTTATTATTATTAATATTTTATTATTATTATTTATTTTTCAAAAATATTCTTTGTTTTTAAAAAGAATTTGTAAATTTAAAATATATTTTTATTTTCTTTATTTTTTTTTTCTTTGTTTTTAATTTTTATTTTTTGATCAGATTAAAAAACAAAGAAATTAAGAAATGCATATCAAACCAGAGCTCGGGTCTTAAGAGGTTAAACACTGTGCAAAAGAAAAAAATGTTGACGTTTTCTGTGCTGTTTTTTAAGTTTTTGTAATTTTGGCACTTAATCTGACTTGAGTAACTTTAATAGTAACACACAAAATCATAGCCATGCCTCCTTTAAAAGCCCTCATCATTATCTATTCAGGATTTTATCACACGTAAGATGCAGTAACTGTAGATTCTGAGTATTTCTCAGCATTGATTCACAGCTCAGGTTCATGTTGTGACCTCTGTTTGTAGGTACATGGCCATCATCCATCCTCTGAAACCTCGTCTGTCTGCCAAAGCCACTATGGGAGTCATCGTCTGCATCTGGAGTCTAGCTGTGGTTCTGGCCTTCCCTCTCTGCTACTTCTCCACCACCCGAACTCTGCCCCGTAGAACTCTCTGCTACGTGGCCTGGCCCCGCATGGCCGACGACCCCTTCATGTGAGACCACACTGACAACCATGTCGTGCTCTGCTGTCCTTGTAATGACGAAGCTGAGCTGTCGTCTCCAGCCCTTCTCCAACATCTCTTTTTCTGTCATTACAACTGCAGTACTATCACTGTTCATCTACCTCTTCATTCAGTCTTTTGTTAAACTACTTCACACACACACTCTTGAAAATGTGCTGGTGATGTGCTTCTTTATTTCTGCAGGTATCATATCATCGTGACAGTTCTGGTCTACCTGCTGCCCTTAGTGGTGATGGGCATCACTTACACCATCGTGGGGGTGACGCTGTGGGGAGGTGAGATTCCTGGAGATTCATCTGATAACTATCATGGACAGCTCCGGGCGAAAAGGAAGGTAATTGCCATGTTTATTCAATACGTTCAGATTTTACAGTTTTTCTACTAATATAGGTATACCGACCAGTTTATAAACAGATAGTGTAACATGTACCTAAGTGTTCAGATACTCTCAAATCTAAAATCTGCCCACAGTTAAGTTTCATAGAGAGAGTACAACTTACAGAAGGATGCATTTCTACATATCTTATAGACTACCAAGACTTTGATGTTTTCACGGACAGCCTTGTTGTTGATCTACTGACTGATTGTAAATGTGCTAAAACACAGATGGAGACCAAGGACTGAGGTTTAAATTAGTTGGAGAGCATCTGCACACTGAGAGCCTTTATTTTTGAGGGAAAAGAAGTTCAAAATTTCTGGAAAAGACAAACTCCAGGAGGCCAAATGATGCAGTGAACCTGGACTGAGAAGCTAATCATCAAGCTTTTCCCTTTTTTGCAGAAAACAAAGGCAAGAAAGAAACGAAGCAATCAACTCAATATTAACCGATACCCGAAAAACTATTGTAACTTAACCTGCAGTCTTGATTTGAATAAAACAAACAAAGAAAAACACTAAATGCATTCAGCTATTAATACCATAAGGGACATGAGTGCACAAAAGCAAATAAGCCTCCATATGTTTAACACAAAACACATGGCACACGCAATTAGGACAAATGCGAGCAGGTCTGTGAAAACACTGTGGATCACTTAGGGATTAGATCAGTAAAATGTGATGTGAGGAGCAGCAAAGCACATTAGCTCAGTGCTGTGAAGGGAATTCACACTTCTCTTATGTGAAAACCACATACGGAGCAAACGCACCGGTGCAAGCGCTCATTATGAAGTCAACACATGTTGAAGAGGAAAAGAGGCGCTCGCTTCACTGTGGTTTAGCAGCATCGGCCAGACAGTGTGCTTTACAGCAGCTACACTGAGGGTTGAACAGGGATTAAGGTCATCACAGCTGTCATGGCGAACATCTATCAAGACAACTCTGGGATTAATGCCAACAAATACAACTCATTGATAAACATCACAAATACTGCAGTGACATGTCGGATTATTCAAAGGGGGCAGCACAGCGGTCAGGCTCTGGAGCAATTCGTTAATAAAGGATGCTTTGGATATATATATTTTTAAACTGATAATGAAAAATATCCTTAATCTGTGGATCAAGAACTTCTTTTGTCTTTGACCCAGTTACTCTGATCAGAGTTATCTCAACTTATATATAGCCTGCAAACTGAGGCAGTAAAGTAAGCATCAAAATAAAACGGTAACTTAAGAATAGATTCCTATTAATTAAGAATTTATAATGGTATCAGTGACTCATACACACTGAATAAACAGGAACAGAGACCGGTGCAGGTTTGCTTTTGCAAGAGCTTCAGAGAAAAACAGTCATCAGAGGCGCAGATTTCCAACAAAATTGAGCTGATAAAGATAAAAGAGGTTTATAAATGTCAGGAAACAAAGCTGTGAGACAATGTCAGGCTTCATTCAAAGGCCCACGCTCAACAAGATAGCATCTGGACTGGAGATAAGTATAATTTGTTCTCATGTCCGCGTTGCAGATGAGCGTCTGCTGATGGTCTAATAGCTGCCTGCTCCTTTTAACCCTCCACGGCTCTGCATTGTGCTATAACATGTTGATGAGTTCGGCGGCACTCTTTCATCCGTCCTACCTGGAACCTGCAGGGTCCAGTGCGTCATCACTGACCTTTCGTTCTCGTATATGGCAGTCATTTTGCGCACATCGAATGGAAATTATGATGAGAATGAAAGGAAGCGGTCAACAAACTCACTAGTTCAGAGGCAGTGAGCTTCTAAGGGCTGCTATACTTTCAAGCATCCCACAGTGAAAATGGCATTTAAAGAGCTTTGTGCTTTTATAATTTAACGTTTCTCCAGGTTAAGAGGTTGTTTAGGCAGGATGCAGGGCGAAATATTTTAAAAGTTTACAAAAAAGGGTTCAGGCAGTGTGACAAAGTGGAATAAAGCTGCACTAATCCATTTTTTTTATAATAACAATGTAAAGTATCTCTTGTCGTGACAAACTCATTCAAGTCAGCGATTCCACTAAACTCACAGCACCTTATTGTGTTTTAGTGCCTATCAGCTTATTGTTTTGGTTTTGCAATTGGTTAGCACTGTTGCCTCGCAGCTAGAAGGTCGCCGGTTTGCGTCCCGGTGGGGGCATTGGAATCTTTCTGCGTGGAGTGTGCTTGGTTGTCTGTCTCTAAATGACCTGTCCAGAGTGTCCCCTGCCTTCACCCTAAGTTGGCTGGGATAGGCTCCAGCCTGAATGAATGGATGGATGTCTTTAGTGATTGAACTTTTCGGCATTTATGAGTGGAAATGTGCTCTGTTTTGTGCACAGTATATTGGCTCAGATATCCCAATCAAGACGCTCTTGAAAAACAGCAAGACACACACAATATTTATGACATACTTAACCCCCTGCAGCATGGCTTTTGGCTTGTTTTCTACAATACTAATAACAGTTGTGTTTGGGATGCTGTGCTGTGATTGACTATATTTGTAGTTTGATTATTGTTATTTACAATTTGACCCCCCCTACTGGGTACTATGTAGCTCCTCTGTATGTCACAAAGCACATCTGAGGTTGCAGTACTTTGCCAGTTTATACACTGAAGAAGGGTCTCTGGCAGAAATGACTAAAAACGGCCCCTTTTTGCAGCCTTTATCAGTAGGAGAAAAGGTGTAACAATAATGATGGCTCTATTCAAGTGTCCCACAAGTACATGAAAGTGAGCCAGTGTGCACAATTCCAGCACCCATACACAGAAGCAGCAAAACTAAATGTAGTCGTCTTTTGTATTATTACTTGACCCTGTTCCTTTCATACTGTGGAATGTCAAAATGTTTTGTGTGAAAAAAAGCCTCCTCTCCTGTTCTCCTGCTGATAACTTTTTGCTTTGTTCTTCTTCCTCTGCTGCAGGTGGTGAAGATGATGATCATTGTAGTGGTGACCTTTGCCCTCTGCTGGCTGCCGTACCATATCTACTTCATTGTGACGGGTCTCAACAAGCGTCTGAGCAAGTGGAAGTACATCCAGCAGGTGTACCTGTCAGTGCTGTGGCTGGCGATGAGCTCCACCATGTACAACCCCATCATCTACTGCTGCCTCAACAACAGGTGAGTACAAGTCAGTCTACTCTACAAAATCCAAAAAGTTTTCACACAACACAACATTACATGTCGGGTTGACTTGGCTGCAGATTCCGCGCTGGTTTCAAGAAGGTTTTCCGCTGGTGTCCCTTTGTTCGGGTGTCGAGCTACGATGAGCTGGAGCTTCGAAACACAAGGCTTCGACCGTGTCACCAGAGCAGCATGTGCACCCTCTCTCGAGTCAACACCAGCATCTTGAGCAAAGACAAGAGCGCTTGTTCCCGTGGCAACAGGTCGAAACTTAACTCTGAGCAGGATAATAAAGACAGTTAGTGGTCTCAGTTGGACACGCTGAGCCGACTCAGGGGGGTTGCAGGGTGATTTCTTCTTCTTCTTCTTTTTTTGATTATTCTGATAAATATGAATTCTCTTAGATGGCAGTGGTGAATTGAGGGGAGCAGGGGGCTAAAAAGACAGGTGCATGATGGTGTTCAAAAACAACAGAAAGTGAATTATATTATTGTGGCTTCTGATTTGGCCCATTTACCAAGAGCTGCAGCTGTGACATGCAGCTCATGGATGCAACTAAGCTTCCAGTCGGAACACATATACATGATAGACATCTATTTTTAAATTCAAGGTAACTTACACTTTTTGAGGACATTATTCACTCAGAAGTCCATTTCACCAAATGTCTATAAATCAGAATAGATATCACAGAAATGGCTCTTCTTGTAATTGCAGAACTTGCCTAAGAATCATTACATTTTTAGGTTTTCTTTTATATAAAAGTAAATGCACCAGTGCAAACCTAAACTGCTTATAGCAACTTCAGTGCACTTTTAATGGCCATTCTACTACAATGTGAACAAATTAAGTCCTAGAAACGGGACTCAAGTTGAAGCCCACAGTGCATGGCAGCTATAGTGGCATATCAGCAGATTTTTTTTCCGAGCCACTTTATTCAAATAAATAAAGTAAAATCGAATAAACAGTTTTGACTAATAATTTTGTATATCACTGTGTTATTTTAAACATGACAAATACATGTGTACATTTAAATCTATATCTACTGTACATATCATCGCAAATATTTTGACATTAATGCCTTTCATTGAATTGAAATGTGTATTTTGGAGTTTTATTTGTGATTTGTTTTATCATAGAATGCTGCTGTTCATTAGGTTAAATATGTTCAACAAAGTGTGCAAAGGTGCGTATTTTGTTGTTTGGTTTCCTAAAAATGTATCTAGCAGGCTTTTTGGATAAACAAGCAAAACAATGTGATGCAAGTCTAAATTTCACATAAGCGGATAAAAGATTATTTCCACCAGTCAGTGAGAGAGAAATATATATATATATATATACACAGATTTTTAACTCTGATATTTTATTAATACATTGCTCACTGCATACAGCGCATTGGATTTTTGTTATAAAGGAATATTTCATACTTGTTTATGGACTATACTTGCCTGGGTTTAGTTCATTTTGACAACAGTGATTTAAAATTCAAAGTATTTTATTTTATGCCTGTTCCACTGTATTATATTTATCCTCTTAAGAGCCGAGCTCTTGTTTGACAAGCATTTTTCATTTCTCTTTGATCAAATAGCAAAGAGAAATAAAAAATAAAAAAATATAAAGACAATAAAAATATATTTTAAATAAAAAAAATATATATATATATATATATGTACATTTAAAAAACTATAAAATAATAATAATAAAATAATAAATAAAATAAAAAAACTACTGTGGTAGTATAACCCGAAATGTGATGTCCATGCATGTGGACGCCAGGTCTTAAGAGGTTATATATTCAACGTATGTTTCTGATATATTTTTATTAATTATTTTGTTTATTTGCATCTTTTTATTTTGGCTTCAAACAGCAATGTTCCACTGTCTTAATGAATTCTCTCTTACAACTACAGAAGTATTTTTTATTTTTTTGCAAGTAAAACTCTGTCCTCTCTGTATTATTTGTTTTGAGAAGTTTTCACAAGGGATTAAAGTGTATTTTCAGTGTCACAAGTCATATAGTTTAAGCTGCTTTTGCTGTTTTTGACATATGTTTAATGTTGCACTCAGCACGCTATTAAATAACAGTTTGACATTTGTTTGAATGCAGTACTCACAGCAGACATACTGTTCATGGTTCTGTTTTGTTACTTAGTGGATCTGGTGAACTGCAGCAACAGTATTAATGTTGCTCTACTGAGATTAATGGAATTAAATCTACTACGGTGACACTGATGTTAAAATGAAGCTGGTTGGATGTTAAATGCATTTTATGACAGAATGTAAATTCACAAGTGCTTGCTGATGTAATTGTTGCAAGGCAGACGAAGCATGTGCCATTTTTGGGTATTGTTTTAAGAGTGTTTATTGAGAGTTTCTGTATAATTGTATACAAGCAGTGAAGATGATAATATTGTGAAATATATTGGTAAAGATTCAAAGACACATATTTAGCCTTGTAAATGTGTTTCATTGTTGAATTATGTTGAAAAAATACCATGAAAGCTGATACATTCTCTTTGTGTGATCAGTTATTTTACATATTTTGTTGGATTTTATTTCAGTCATACGTAGAGATGGGTGTTGAATTAGACTTTCACTGATCTGATCAATAGATATGTTGCTTATTTAACATTGATGGAAAGATGAAACAATGCATTATGGTATCAGAAGCAGTTACACAAGAGAAATACAGCAGCATATCAGTGACTGCTGCATGTAGTGACTGTAAGCAGCTTCTCAAAAGTCATGACGAAACCAGCTGGTTCAGCCCAAAAATGTGTTTGAAATCATCAACTTCTTTTGCGGGAAATGTAGAAACAGTTATGCTCACTGAACTTGAAAGAAGTTGTTCAATACGTTTAAGATGCGCTTCAAAGAATCAGTTCCTCATTCATACATAGTGTATTTTCAGTGCTGCTCCCACTGAACTTTGTACAACGACAGAAACGTCTATTTTTCATTGTCTTGAGCAGAAACACTGTACGGCTTTCAACAGTAAGAGGCGAGACAAGAGGAGTTCAACCTGTTTATTTGTTTATGTGTATCTACGTTTCAGCTCGTCTGTCTGATATTATTGGCTGAAACTGCTTTACATTTGGACCACAGTTGTTTAAGTGCCAACGATAAACTTCCACTTGAGTCCAGCTGGGAATCTTTGTTGCAGGTCATTTCCCATCTCTCATTTATGTCAGTTTTCTAAAGAAGTACAATGCCTCAAAATGAAAAAAAGAAACCAAAAAGTATATATTTTTCTTACGTGCATTTAAAAAAAGATGACTTTAGTCTATAAGTCAAAGTATATGGCAGCTGTGTTATGAATATATTTTTGCAGACACTACAGCAAAACAACAGTTGAAATGAACAAACAGAACAGTGTTTTACATTGTAATAACATTCAGAGGCAACGGAGATGCTGACTGTTTTTGCGAAACTATTAAAGGAAGAAAAATAAAGCCGCAAGCACAGACACGAGCCACTGGGTGGAGACGACAGCTGCTGACCTGTAGAGGTGGAAGCAAAGACAAAAAGATAGTGAACCTGTCTGTAATATCAATTTATTAATATTATTACTGACTTGTTTAATCGACCACCTTCTCAGTACCAGAAATTTTCTGCCAAAGTTAAAACAGTTTAGATTTTATCTCATGAGAATTTTTTTGTTTTCTGACAAATTACAAAAATTGGAAAAAGATTAAGTTAAATACAGAAGTTAGGAATCAACATTTGAATAGAAACTGGTGACAGTTTTGAGGTTGTTTGCGAATGTCTTCAGCACTATCAGGCAAATCTGATCGAACCACACCCAGCCACACTGAGGATGAGGATATGATGTCCTTCGCACTTTCCAATTCCTGTTTTATCCCTTTGCACTTTACATTTCCAGTTTACATTTTTCACTTAACAACAACTAAAATTGTACTTTTAATAGCTTCTGAATTGATGAAAATAATTGAGTTTCCTTGAGTTATTCTTGAGTGCTCACAGTATTTAAGATTAATAAGCACTAACACTACAAAACATACAAGCTGGCCTTCCTGACTGATGGAATTTTCCGTCTTGTGAGTTCAATTTAAAAAAATAAAAATAGTGTAAGTTTTGTTTTTCTTTTTGTTTTGTTTTTGCTGGTAATTCTCCTGAAAGATGCTGGACCTGATTGTCACTCAAAGATAATGCAGTAAAAAGCAAACTTGTGTAAGTAAAAACAAAAATTCATCACTGCTCAATAAGCTTCGCCGTCAATAATTTACACTGTTGCCTATTCACTCAAGGTTTTAGAGATATACTGAAGATTTGGTCTTAGGTTTTCAGTGTGTTTTAAACTATTTTCTTTTCTTTATGTAGGCCTGGAACATTACAGGACTAAAAATCCACACACAGTCCGTTTCAGTACAGCGTTCCTATCTGTTTCACACCAACTGTTCTTCAGTAACTGTTCGTTATTTGCAACCTTGAAACATCAAATCATCAAGACACTGTTTTGATAACTTAGATATAACCTCCACACTTCCAAGCACAGCTTTTGTGAAAAATCATGGAACTGAGCCAAATATTTCATTTTTTACCAAGAGAATGTGAATCTTACCTTGAGAAAGAGAGACAGTTGTGTTTGCTGTCCAGTTTTGAACTTTTCAAAACAATCTCAGTGTATTCGTCACCATCCAACGTGTGTCTTTTCACCACTTCCTCCACTGTGAAAACTTCAGCTGGAGATAAAAGCACCTCATCCTTGTCTGTACTGCAAACATGGTCCCCCAGGTTGGCAAAGAAGCAAGATGTGATATTTAAAAGCTTTGCCCCGTCTAAATCTGTATTGGTTTTTAACCAGTCATAGTTTGAAGTAACCAAGGTGAAACTTCCAAGTCTTACTGTTGAGCCTTTTACTGCTGTGACTTGTTTCTCTGGGACCGAGTGCACAGTCTTGCACTTGTTTTCATTTAGCAGGGTCATGGAATCCATAAGCAGGAAATGAAGAGACTTGAAATGGAAGTCGCTTTCATAGATGCTCACATTTACGCCCGTTGTCGCCACTGCTTTGCCAAAGGTGTTCAAAAACTCTTCATCGCTGTGACGATAGACAGAAAGTGCAGCAGTGTGCTCTTTTCTTCCTCCAGGGATCAGCGCAGAACACTGACTATTTGCACTCCATGCTTTCTGGAATCCCTTACTGTCGTTTAGCTCTTGTTTTAACAGGCCTGAATTGATGAACGTCTCCATGGCCTTGTTGCGGCATCCATTGTACAGGTCATCTACGACGTTTGCATCCATCGCGTCCAGTAGGTTTACAAACTCTGCAGTCCCCTTTAATTAAGTATGACATTTAAAATACATTTACAGGAGAAGAGAATATTTTTTTTGACCTAACAAATTCTGAATGGCTATTTGTACAAGAAATAATACTTACTTTGTGGCAGACAGCTGTGACAATGATAGCAGCAAGACACAGTTTTCTTCTGTCCCACATTTTTAAGCGCTCTTGTTTTTCTTCTTCTACAGGCTTCTGTAACAGAAAAGAAAAGCGTTGCAGGACTAACCTTCCATTAAGAACTTCTCTGACACAGTCCAGAAATGCAGGAATTTAGCTTGTTGCTCAATTCTTGGTTTTGGCAGGCCCTACACTATCTATTATCTGTTTTCTTTGCATGGACACGTTTTTCTGTCTTTGCATGGCACCCTCCTCCAACTCTTGACTCATATAAATGTGAACAATGTTTAAATGCTAAAATAAAAGGCAAATGTTGAAAAGATTGAAAAACACATACCTTAAACAAGGAGAATAAATCTCTTTGAACAACTCACATGAAATCAAGTTCTTGTACATCAAACTGTGGGGGAGTGAGCCTTCTGTACAGAACAGTAGGGAAGTGAGACTACTTATCTTACTATGCAACTCCTTTCTCTTTCCTGTGGAAGGAAATAACAGGCCACTGGGAGACCAGTTGTCCAGTTATTTGTTCTGCTTGAGCTACTGGATTGCTGTAAGATCTTTTAGATTTGTTGCTGAAGTTTTATAATCAAGATGAGCCCAAATAGATTCTTTCTTTCTTTCTTTCTTTCTTTCTTTCTTTCTTTCTTTCTTTCTTTCTTTCTTTCTTTCTTTCTTTCTTTCTTTCTTTCTTTCTTTCTTTCAA